TTCTGTAGACGTTTATGTGTTGACCTTTTGACCTCCTGAATTCTGCAATGAGATTTTCGGGTCGATTCAGCCGAGACGGCCCGAGTGGAGTTTCATGTAAATGTTTCGTACGGGAAAAAAAATCGCATCCTGGCTACGTCCCTGTTCCTTCACAATACAAACCAAATACGTTCGTTCAAAATGGATCGAATTGTTATTGCTTTAAATACTCAATGTGTAATATATTTCGCAGATGTACCGGTATGACAGCTGTTAAGGATGGCAAAGTTTACAATGGAAATATCGGTTATATGGTTTGTTCTCGGTCGCTTGATGCCAAAACTGCCTTTGACATAATTCCCTCCGCCGAAGGATGTTTTCAGGCGCGGATCCAGAGTTCATCCTTACTATCGCACAAGTGGGGTCCTAGGGCCTGATTTGAAGCTTCATACTTTCAATGGTGGCTAATTTTTAAATATAGGCCTATCCAGCTTTTGGTTGAAAAATCGGGCAAAATATGCTATAGCAACCCAACGCATATTCCAAATAAGCAGAGCATTTTTTTTTTTTTTTTTTTTTTTTTTTTTTTTAATTATTAAAAATTTGTGCTTTCCATAGAGTAAAGGAAATGTTGGTTTACTAGCTTAGAACAATAGATATTTTAGTTTAATGTTTACAATGACTTAAATAGACCATACATAGCAAAGTTTGCTCTATGAATAGACCTACAGCTGCTTTCAGATGCAGCACCTGCAACATACTCCGAGTTATGTGAATAGTTATAAATAATAATGAATTGAAGGTTTATAGAGCGCACATATCCACTGCAGTAGTGCCGAAGGCGCTAAAAGCTCCTATGTTTTATAATTTATAATCGGTCAGGAGCATTTTATTCCGGAAAATATTGCCTGTACTGGGGAGTGTGGGGTGGGGGTGGTATTAATGCGACACCGGCTTCCTAAGAACATTACTATTTAAAAAAAATTGAACATTTCGAAAAAGATGATGTATTTTTACTGTATTCAATTATTTCTAAATTCTAAAATGATAACCTACTTATTTCAGTAACAATAAGCATATTGGTCAGCCCTTGCTGCCTATTAATTACATTTCATTTTAAATAACATTGTGATTTATTCAAAGTTTTTATACTTTTATATTTTTTTTCGGGAAAATAGGTCACCAAATAAGGTTATGTATTCACAGCTGTCTGTATATCGGGCTGTCTTTCTGTCTAAAACTAAAAAAACTAAAGAATATCATCATAAAATTGAGTGAAATGGTAGATAAAAATCTGTTGGACCATGTCGGTTAAATCGTTTCATATTTCTCTTAGACTTTTTCGTCTGCAGGCCTAATATAATTCTTGTGTATAATGTAAAACAAATTATTCGTCAAACGAGATTGGCCTCTTTTCTTTTATGAGCTCGTATGGTGTTGTGCTTCATCGATTGCCTTTGTACATTCACCAACAACAAATTGACTCTAACCACGACGTAGCGTTCAAAACTAATAAAGCGAGTACCGTGACTGACCAGACACAAAAGGTGTATAATTTATGAACATGAAGGAATGATGAATATTTTATTATGAAAGTTCAAGGCATTAGTGGAAGAGATAGAAAAAATAAAGCAGGATGCGGCGGATTCGCGAAATAATTACATTAACCTAAGACCTCGAAGGCTCGCCTGCATAAAGTATTGTACACACACACACACACCCCCCCCCACACACACCCACACACACCCACACACACACACCCACCCACACACACGTACACATACACACACACACAAAACTGGCGAGAACCTGCCAACGGATGCGATCTTTAAGAAGAAATTCTTCTCAAATGAGAAACATAGTCTCTATATCTCTTTTTTTTCCCTCTAGCGTAAAACTAAAATTAATGCCAACTAACAACCTAGCTTATAATAATTAGAGTTATAATGCATATTCTGTAAATAGTTGATTTAGTGAAATTATGCCGGCAATGGGGTTTACGTTTTGAGTGATATCCTATTTTTGGTTAGATCAAAAAGTGGGCGGAGCATGGAATCGTATCACAAATCGTTATGCTTCATCTCTATGGTTGCGTCATGGAGGTAGGCATGTTGAATCAGGGAGATGTAAAAAATAATTATTTTTTACATCTCCCTGGTTGAATGAATGTGAACGATAAAGTCTGCTTGCGTTTGTGCTTGTACTTTTAAAAGGATTTTTTTACAAATACTTGTGAATTACAAGCGTACCGGTAAGTAGGCCTATTCATTTTTAAAATCTTATCTAGATTTTAACTGACATGGGGGTGGGGTGGGGGGAGGAGGGCAATATGTAGTCCACACCCACTTCAGCCCCACCATGGCAAATTTTAAGAATAGGCTAGTACAAGGTCCCTAAAATTTCAAGTTGCAAATAGAGACCTATCTTAGCGGAAAGAGTTACCCACATGTAAAACGATTGCTTTCAACTCGGCTGAGATTATTTGGCCCGTCAGATCAACAATTTGGCCCTTTAAACAAATTAATTAGGAACCAGGGACATATATTATATCCGGAAACTCGTGTATATAAACATCGACATTTTTAAATTATTGCATTGCATAAATTTTGTAGGCCTACTCGTGTGTTTATTTAACAAAGAAGCATCAACAAATAAAAATGTGTGAACAAATAAAAGGGAACAAATAAAAATGTGTATCCATACATATATATATATATATATATATATATAATATATATATATATATAATATATATTTAT